TAGTAAATAAAACTAAAATACAATTTTGAAAAGAGTTAGTTGTTTAAATGAAAAAGAAAGAAAAGAAAAAGTGCACGTTTTTTATATATTTGATTTTACAGTGCTTATGGGTATACAATATTTCTTGTCTGTGCAGATATAGAGATTGTCTGGTTTGCTGATTCTTGAACATGCAATATGTAACTGTCCATGCGAAAAGCAATCCGCGCATGGATCTAAACTGCAGAATTATAAAGATCGGCCCTGAGCTTGATGGTGATTGCAATCTCTTAAACTGAAATGACACATCCGCTGGAATTATAGGAATGCGAGACATCTTTACTTTTAAAAGATCCTGTCAAGATTGTTGCTCCTGCGACGTTGCTCATTAATTTTTCTTCCACTACAATCCGCGTCCCATTGCAAAATTTTGGCTGGTTGATATTTCGCAACATGATAATTGGTAACACGATAATTGGCGTTCCGCAACAAGATAATTGGCATCATTAGATCGTAAATGCATTTTTGCTCAAGCGTTAGCTTGGAAGTATTTAATTAAGTATTTGACTTTACGGTAAAAGATCACCCGTGTTGTAATTTTGTTGATGACACAGTTCATAATTGAATAAAACAGCAGCAAATTGATTCGGTGATGGCATTCCCAACTGATCAAGGAGTTTTTTCGCGATTTCCAAGCACAAATCTTCAATCATTATCAATGTTTCATTGCAGATTTCTGCTGTAAAAGCCATGTTTATATTCGAATTTTCCTTTTGTATTCGACGGAAAATATCTTTAGCCATGTGCGATTTACATTCCTTCCATATATACCATACTCATTAACAGTAGCCAAGAAATACATCAAAACTCAGTAATTTGTTGCCAAAAGAAATCTCTGGAAGACACAAAATACAACATTCAATGGATTAAGGCAATGAGGAGAAATAAGCTACAGGGGATGGGGGTAGGGGAAGTCACAAAGAAATTTCGGTGTTTTCGTCACGTCTGTAGGATGAACCAA